ACAGGTTGGGGGTGATTCTTGCAATTTCGATCACGAGGAATACATTGATTTTGGCACTAAGTGAGGGGTTAGCTTTTCAATATAGATAAGAAAGCTAGGAATAGAAATTCATTTTCACCTCAAAATTGTAACCAATTTATCAAAGGATAATTATGAGTTTTAAAGTGAACTATAGAAAACAGTTGGTACGCAAACTTGTAGATGCATAGATGAAGAAAGTTCTATTCCAAAAATAAATGAGTTGAATGGTATCAGAATGACTGTTATGCCTGGAGAAAGTGTTTCTAAAAAGGCAGGTTTCAAGAATAGCTGTGACTTTGATGAACAAGAGGTTGAGGGCATCAGTAAAAAAGAAGAAACTGTTAATGCTGGAAATGCAGTGCCAGATTTGCTAGAATGGAATGCAATAAAACTGAGATTTAATGCTGACATTAATTCTAAAGGTTTTACAGGAGGACAGTTGCCTGGTAACATGCGAAACATTGATAGATGCGGAAATCATAGATAGTGTCAAAGTTATATCAGATGAAGAAGCTGAAGATCATATTGATGAACCAAAAGTGAGTGTAAAAGAGGTAGAAAAAGCTGTAGAACTCTTACAAATTATTCTTGAATCCCAGGAAAATGTTGGCTATGAGGGATTTGTTGCTCTTTATTTATCACTCAATTAAACACTTTGACTTTAATTAACATCCACTTTTAACATTAAGTTAACATTGACTTTATCGGATAAAATTTCCAGATGATTCTGTACTGGAATGCTCTTTAGTTTGCGTACATAAAGATGGGTGATTTGTATTTACATAGATATGATTAAGAGAATAGATTACAACATAGATGTAAGAGCAAGAGTTCCAATTGCTGATAAAAACATAACAGATGTGGGATACTTAAAGAAGTTTTCCCTTTTTAATTCTGCTTGGAGAATTTCTAAAAAATGCAACACCATCCAAAATAATATGATTTACTGTGCTCATTTGATAGATTAAAATAAAGATAAAATTGATACATATGCCTTAAAATAATTTCCAGTTGGTCTCTCCGTTTTTGGGTTTGTGATCTTGTTTATAAATAGTAATTTTAACAGAACAATTCATATTCTTCAGAAATCTAAATGAATGCAAAAAAAAAAAAAAAACCTTTTTTTTTTTTTTTAAATTTTTAACACTTAACTTTCTATGAAGTCTTTGTTATTTATAATGAAATAGGTTTTAGAGCAGATTTAAAATAATTAGTATTATAATTACATACATCCATATTTTTTCATTATGTAAACTAATATCATTCATAAAATAGGTAACAAAACTAAGTGTACTATTTATATAATTGTTATGATTTCTAAATTAACAGATTTTAATGCAACACTATTCCAAATTAAGAATTTGCAATCCTTTCTTCTACTGCCCTAGTAAAAATCAAAACAGCTATTTGTCCTTACATAGTTTTAAAAATTTCTTAGCTGAAATTTCAACTGCTTGCACAACAAAAGTTAATTTCTGTAAGAACAAAAGTTAATACAGTTTACTAACAGTTTTTCTAGCTGTAACTTTAACTTTTTTTTATATGTGGGCGTATCATCATTAAGTCTTACTCTGTATGCTTTGAAATTGTGTTTTTTTGTCATTAATTTTTCTTTATGTACATTAAAATTTTTTAAATTGCTTTTTCTTGTTTGTTTTTCCATTATGGGGCTGCAGGGCACTGTCAGTTTTTGGTTTTACCACTGACAACAGAAAGGTTCTTGTGTGTTGATAGGCAGTGTGTTTCCTGATGAAGTGCTGTCCTGCTATAACATATCTTATGTAGTTCTCTGCTAGAATTGTATTTCTGACTTTCAAAATTACAGTTTACAGAATATTTCGCTTTATAGATATCTTCTCAGTAAGAATACATTTATGCTGGTCTTAAAATAATCCATTATCTTCTAGCTCAAAGAAAATTTAAAACTCAAGTTGCAGAATATTCAGATTTAAATCTTTCTACTAAGAACAAATTTTAACGATTGGTTCTGCATTACACTGTTTACAAATTGATGAAATACAAGTCATGAGAACTGTTTAGAATAAATAAAAGAACATGCAATAAGAGAGAATAAAAAGGGATGACATGCAAATATTAGTTATTGATCCTAAAGAGATGGCAGAAATAAGTTTTGAATATAGTCAAGTGAAGGGAAGTAAGAAAGAAAAATGAGGACAGTAAGCTCAAAAGACCTCTTATAAGTGGCTGCTGCCTCCTGCCCAGAATAAAAAGCAAAAGATAATTGGCAACAGCTATTACATAATAGAATTTTTATAACAAAGTAAATCTTCCATCAAACTTTAAGCAACAACCAACCAGAAACGAGGTTACATAATTATTCTTTTTAAAAAATAACAAAGTTAAGTTTTTAAAGTTATTGCTTACCCTTTAATCGCTTATATTTTATGCAATTCAAAAACAATTATTCTTCCAACAGTGTAAAATACGAGAAAAAAAAACTACATAAAATAGTCAATGAAGTACTTAAAACAGATTTTTAAGTAAGTAAAAAAAGAAAACTTATTTTAAATTTTTATAATTATTTGAACAAAAATTGGCCTTAATGAGTATTCACAATTTTACTGAAGAACATTAATATATTAAAAAAGTGTAATCACTGTTATAAATCATTAATATAGCAAAATAATCTGTAACAAAAAAAGTAAACCAAAATTAAAAAATTTCAATTTCATTTCTATATCTTAAAATGCAACAAAAGGAAAATAATAATAAATGTAGTAGAACTTAACATAAAAAAGCTCATTTAATTTAATATTTAGTTCTTAAAAAGTAACAAGATAAATGATAAAAGAAAAAAAATTGCAAATGCTGTTAAGCATAATTCTAGAAACAATTTCTCTTTACATTTAATTTACAAAATTATTTATGCCAAAAGTTGTAATCTAGAAAATAAAACATTCAAGCAAAGACATTTAGACAAATAGCTAATTGAAATTAACATAAACGGTCCCAATTTTCAATAGGAAAAGCAACCAATACTGTTATTACATTGACTGATTGAAGTCCTTTTACAAAACACAAACAAGCACTTTCACTTATTAAGGGATAACAGTATAACACTCTATTAAGAAAGATAGAAAATCATTATTTGCATCATTTGTGTAAATGTTACAGGTAAAAAATAAGAAAGAAAGAAGCTAGTATTTTAATGTTTGTGGTTCTTAATATATACTGGAGCCCACTAAAGTTTGCAACCATATTCTCAAGATTCTAAGGACTATAACTGTAGCTATAAAAGTGGTATCTAGATATAGCAAAGGGGCTGTGCGCCGTACGATATCACTTCCGCATCACCAGATGAGAGATAGCATTTCCAACTCAAAAAAATAATAAGATGGCGTAAAAAAGAACTACTAAAATTTCACCCATTTAGTGCAAATGCATACTTTGTGAACCTTAATGTTAGGAAAAGAACACTTAGAACTAGCATTTGTTTGCTTCTACAGCTGAAATATTGTAAGAAAGAAAAAAAAATTGGTAGTTATCACAGAATGCCTTTTATTTTTTATGTGTAAAATGTAAACACCGAAAATGAACCATCTGGGAATTTTTGCTAAGACCGTTTCCTCATTAAGAAATCTAGAACAAGTCCTTCATTTAAGGTCAATGGGAAGATCACCTACCATTTCTGTGGCCTCATATAAGCTAACTGAATTTCGCCATAAAAATCAATCGCAAAAATATTTTAACATAACACCAGTAGAAAAAAAAAAGACCAGATAAAAGGTTAAAAACTCGTTTCTGAACATTCATGTCCACAAGGGATTTGTTCGCACTAAATTGATGATTCTCTACAAATGAATTTTTACGTCATCACATATCGTTTTTGAGGTAGAAAAATTCAATTTTTAGTTTTTCACCAGGTAGTAATCACATGGTATAGCAAAAGTACTTTGGTATATCTAAACATCACTTTTATAAATATATCTGTTAGGTTGAGAAAAGGAACTTTAGTGGGAACTCTGTATGTTAACAAAAGGAAGAACTGTTAATCCTATGGGAAGGGAAAAAATTATTTTATCAAAATGTAAATAAAAATTAAAAATTGCTAATTTAGAAAAATAAATTTTAACTGACATATAGTAAATAAAAACAATATATTTAAACAAAGGTGTTGGTTTTCAATTATATAGCGAACATACATAGCATAACTAACATTTCAGAAAACAAAAGTAACTTGAATCTATCACAATTGCAAAAATAAAATTAGACAATGAGAAGTCATAGTTGCTTTATATTTATGTCTCAAACAAAATGACCATTTAATTAAAAAAAAAAATGTCTCAAATGTCATGACCATTTTATTAAAAAAAAAAAAAATATGCCTGTTTATGGAACACATTATTTCCCAAAATAAGAAAATGGAACTTTTTATTTATTTTTAATTCTTAATAAAGTTTATTTCTGAATAAATATTTCAATTTAGAAACATTAAATCCCTACAAAATTTTTAGTACATAATTGTTTAGTCGGAATAGTTAACTTGTTGTAAACTTATTTTTGTTCATTCCTTTAATAAATAATAAATTGAGGCAGCAGCCAAGGTATTCTAATAAAAAAATTATCCTTAAAATTTCTGAAAAACAGAAATGCAATGGCAGCACTTTCACACTAGCATGTGCCATTAAATGACAAAATATCCATTAAAACGTTAAAAATTAAAAAAAAAACACTTTATCCTACCTTTTAAAACACAAATACTGTTTCTACAACAAATAAATAGAACATTGCAACTTGCAATATTTATATTAGGCAAGCAATTCATAAACTCAGCAAAGTTGCACAACAAATGCCCAGGACATGCTATTAATGAAGGCAGGACGCAGCTAAATTTGGTTCAGTGAAATCACTTGGCCATGTCTAGCAGACCACAAACTAAAAGCGCATGCTTTATGGCCAAGTGAAATCTAAACCGATTAACTATGTTAAAAAGCCACACAAGAGGATTCTGAGCTTACCTTCATGAAAATCTTCTTCCTCAATATCATTGGCCGAGGGAGAGGAAGGTGGGGAGCCACCAGGGGTGTCGTGGCGGCTGGCAGAATGGTGGGGGGAGCGTTGAGGGGTGGTTCCGCCAGATGAAGATCGGCCTACAGAGATAATTATTATAACTCATACATCTGTTTTATTAATTAGAAATTCACAAAAAAAGTATTCTATATCCAGGGTTGCCACTCAAATCGGGAAAAAAATTCCCTGTGTTTTCCCTCTACATATTATAAACAATATATTAAGAGGACGCCACACCTGAGGAAGAAAATATTCGTCGCAAATTCTCTTCTTCCTTCATTACTAATTTAAAAGAAAGAAAAAGTAAGCCATAAAGTTTCAATTGCTGAAAAAAATACTTAAAAATATTAAAATGCAAACAAATTATTAGAAGAGAACTTCGCCGTAGCGTAATCCTAAGCTATCTTCTCATAATTTATTTTCATTTGTTTAGTTTAAAATTTTCTTTTCAGTATTTGAAACTTTATGGTTTACTCTAATTTTGTCTGAACTCACTTTTTCTACACTTTAAATAAGTAATGAAGGAGAAAGCAAATTTGGGAGGAAAATTTTTGTCCGCGTTATGGTGTCCTCTTAAGAGGAAAAACACAATCATTGTGCTCTTGTATGAGCCATATTGGGATAACTATACTTGCTTAAATTGCTGGAAAAACTTAAGAGAAAAAGGTACAGTCGAACATATTTAAAACAAATAATATAGTGAATGAAATAGTTTAGTATAGCTGAAATATTATCCTTAAATATCCCACTTTTAGAAGTCACCATTTCTTAAAAGACAAAAATAAGAAACAAAATTCCCTGAATTTTCCAGGTTTTCCTTGAGGAGTGGCAACCCTGATAATGAGCTTAAATATTTTACACATAGGGAATTTTTTAGTCATCAAAATAAAAAACTGCAATATTTTCCAATTATGATGGGCATTAAATATAACTGAAATGTTATGATTTATGTTTACTTTGGAAAAAAAAATGCCTGTATTTTTCCTGTATATATATTACACAATACGCTAAGAGGAAACACAACAATTACTGTGCTCTTGTGTGAACTATATTTAGCTAACTATATTTATTAGTTTTAATTGCTGGAAAAGGAACAGCTGAACATACTTAGATAATGCTATAGTAAAAGAAATAGTTTAGTATAGCTGAAATATCATCTTTAAATATCCAATAGATTGCGTTTTGAGTAGTCAAAATTTTTTAAAAGATGAAAAAAAAGGTGATTTTTAAATTTCCCTGAATTTTAAAAATTTGAAAGACCAAATTAAATTTTACTGATTTTTATTTAATATACATACTATCCAGAATATATTAATATAATTACTAGTTCAACAAAGAAATAAAAATTGGCATAGATTCACAGAAAAAGCAAAACACAGAGGAAGAAAAATTTGGACACCTCTATTTCAAGGCACTATACACTTAAAAGTTTTCAATACTGCAACAGAGGTTAATTAAATTTCATTTATATTTAAGGACATGATTTTGCAAAATAAAAAGAAGTCAAAAGGATGACATTCTTTCATTTTTCAAATGAAACACAGGTGCCTTTTGTTTAAACAAAAAATATATTTAGTGCATTTTTCCTGTAAAAAAAAAGAGCAAAACTAAAAACATTTAATTAAACACATTTTGCTTTTAAAGAGACTGTCTTTTGCTATAAGAAAACAAAATAATTTCTACATATAGGAGGGATTGATGAAACAATTTATCAACTCTGAATTTCACTATTTTTAGATGTTTTTAAAATAAAACACTTATTACAAGCCAAGCATAAGTTTTTAGTACTCCTGAAAATACATATACACAAGTAACTGGCTATTAAAGCAATACTTTCAAAAGACTGAAAAGTTAATAAATTCACTTTTGATTATTTACTATAATTATAAGTGCACTAAGAATAAAAAAATAATAAAAAGTTTTGAGAAAAAATTCTAAATCACAAAAGAATTTTCTAATTAGAATGTTTAACATTGCCACACCTCTTTTGCAATTTCTATTCTTACTTGAAGATTTTTTTATTTATAATTAATTTTCCCCACAACATATTTTTGCATGCAAACATATTTTCACAAGTGGGACTCTTCAAGTTGAACCAATTTTTTAAGCAATTGGAAGCAGTAAAAAAAAAAAAGTGATAACAAAAATTCAATCTTCCACAACCCTACTAATCATAACATTCCTTTCGCTGCGCATATTTTCAGGGTTGCCACTGAAAAAAAAAATGAGCAAAATAGTTGTTTTTAGTAGCCTAAAGCATGAAAATAGTTGCCTAAATAAGAACAAAAAATTTTCAATAATATAACTAAAATTTTATTAAAAGACTTATTTGTCATATACCATGATCCATTTAGTCAAGTTGGTTGCAAATATAATTTTTATACAAACGTTAGTGTTCTAGCATTAAATATAAAAAAATTAGTATATTTTCAGACAAAAAGATACTTTTTCATTAAAAAAAACATACTTTATCTAAAAATTTTTCCCTTTTATCAATAATTGATTTACCAAATTCATATATATACATATATTGTGAAAAGTAACTACTCAAATTCGAAATTCACGCATCGTAATATTGTATTAAAAATTGGGTTGTTTAAAATCATTCAGAATTTCGTAGTAATAACCGTTGAACAGGCAATCTAGAAGCAAAATGTAATCCGTGCAAATTAAGAACATTAAAAAGTGATGACTCAAATTTGCAATTGAAAATTTTACACAGTTTTTAAGAAAAAAGAATTCATCGAGTTCAGAAGCTCAGGTGGGCTGCAGGTTGACACCCCAATTTATGCTAAAAAAAAACATAGCTAGGAGTACAGAAAAGTCTCCCAATAGTCTCCTTTTCCTGAAAATAGTTGATTTTTAATACTTTTTTAGCAAAAAAAAAAGTTGTCATAGTTGTCCCTCCCAAGCCAAAAATAGTTACAAATAGTCGCATTTCATATGCCTGTGGCAACCCTGTATTTTCCTTCCACTTATGGAGAGTGAGGTGGTAACTCGGATACGCTGATCATATAAGGGTGAGAAATTAAAATAGGAGCAGAATCAGACAGAAAAAAACCTAAGATGGTGCAGGATATCACTTTCGGCATTGTCTGGTGCAGATTTTCCATCATCAGTAAAGTATGAAAGCTGATACTTTCACTGGCGTGATAATTGAAATAAATTTTTATTGATAAATGCTTTGTTTCCATTGTAATATGAAGAAACTATAAGTAAATATTGAAAAGAGCTAAAAAATATTTGCTTTGGAAAAAAAAAACTAATAAATATTGAGCATGTATACTAAAATATAGATGTATACCTAAGAGAAAATAATGAACATAAAAGATATTTTTTTATGCATGAAGGTATTTTATATCAACAGGGTGAATATCCAAATCTTTCAACAAAATATAAGCACCTTTTAAGCACTATATACATTGACAAAAGGCAAAATAATTTTCAGACTTTACATGATCATGATAAAGTAACTTTTCTTCACTAAAAAAAATCTTTGCTTGATTACATAAGCCACCATAAAAAGATCGAGAGATTTCTTGGTTCGATCTCAGAGGTTGGAAAATGAAACCTGAAATTGAGAATATCTTGCAAAATGTAGCAAAGTTGCACATGAGTGTGCAAGAATTTCACCAAAACCCAGCTCAGCAGACGCACATGGGGATTCACAAGTATTTCATCAAACATGTAAAATGATTGGCAATTTCACAAGCTACAGACCAATGGTATGCAGAAATGCCTCGTGTTCGGATGATTTGTGAAAACGTTGAATTGAACAATGTGAAAACCATGCTTTTGCATGATACGTGGCAAAAATCGGCACGGTAAAGAAAAATATATCATTTCGGAAAAACACCTTTAAAGGCTTTTAAAAAATGAAAATAAGAACCTACACGAATTTTTTAAAAACGCTACGTACCATAATAAATTGTCCCTTATGTTTTTTTCTCCCTTTTTTTAATTAATTTTTTTCTTCTTTTTAACGTGTCACATTTGAGTTTAAGAGAGCTACCGATCAAAAGTTATAATTTTTTCTATAAAAGTTCACTATCAACTACAAAATTTAACATAATGTTAGATTCAATATGAAAAAAAAACCCTGTTTAAACCCTAAATCTTTTCTTATTACATCAGTAAAATAAATGCACACTTTTAAAATAACAGTAACGTATCCGAAAACAATGAATCTTTGCCAAGAGATGAAATCCCAATAAAAACTTTTTAAATGCAGGTTTACAAATGCACTTGCTTACTGCATGCATCGTAAATGCATCATTATAAATAGAATGGATTATTACTATCAGAAAATGTACTATTATAAGCTATAAAGGTAAAAACCACGAAAGAAAATCTTGTTCAAACTAATAAATAGCTAATTTAAAGTCAATTGAATTGATTAATGAAGCAGTCATCAAAACATGAAGGAAACATAAAATGTAAAATTTTTTAAAATATTATGAACAATAAATAATCAAGGAAAAAACAAAAGCAGAAGAATGCTAAATTTACCTTCACGGCATCTTGGGTCAAATCCTTCTTCGACATTTTGTACAAATTGATCTCTCTTCCAAAGCCTTAAAGAAAGAGATCTAATGAAGAGAGGTTGTTAAAAGAAATACTTTTTATACAATAACTCAACAAAAATAAAAAAGAACTTTAATAAAGCAAACAAAATATTTAATAATAGGCAAAATAATAAAAATAAACACTAGCAAAATTTAAATAAAATAAAAATTGAAGTAGCTTGTTAAAAAAGAAGAGAGGTTAATGAAATGTAAATGAATGCTGAAAGAAATACGACTATTTATACTGTAAAGGAAAAGAAAAAAGACGGAAATAACTTGAGATATACATTAAAACAGTCATTTAACTATAGACAAAATAATATTGTATTGAAAATTTGAACAAGGGAAAAAAATGTAAAATTTGGTAAAACAATTATGACACATTTGAATTAATTACTAACATATCCATAATGTAAACTAATGAAAAAGGCCCTATTTTAAAATTTTTTATTCACTATTTGAAGATCGGGCAAAAATGTAATTTTGATAACTCGAGAAGGTTCTAAAATGTTTGTAAATTTCCAATACATATATTGCTATATCTTTTGGCGTAATGCACTTAACCTAAAAAGTAATAATTTTATTGTAACCATTGAAAAAAATTGCGAAGACCGTGCATACATCTTTTTAATTTCAGGAATACATTCAAGACTTTAGATTGATTTTCATATGATAATGCAATATATTGAGTCCCAGGTGTAGGAATACAATAGGTTTCAGCCAAATGAATTCAAATAGGCAGGTTATACCATTACAAAGGGAGTGCATTAGTTAATCTTAAATGCTACGTTTTTAAAAAATTTCACTTTAAAATGTTATGAAATACATAGAATAAAGTATTAAAGAAATAAACTCAATTTAAAACCATTATAATTACAGTTGTTAGTGTCAGTATCATAAATTACAAATGACATTTTAATTTCCATAAAAACAAATCAATGCTAAATGAAAAGTATAATATACATAAATTATATTATAAATGCACTTTTACACTTTTTAATTCCTTAAAAAGAAATCTGCAATTAAAGACAGGTTTAACATACATTTAACTGAACACCTTTCCATATTTGAAAAACTGTGTGAGTGAAGTAAAGACACCTGTAACGTACACGAAAGCGTTCGTGAGAAAATTGTCACCACTGCGGAAATTTTTTTAGTATTGCTCATTATAAACAAAAAAGGGTCAAAATTCTTCTATTCTACCCCAGAGTCAAATTTTTCTACACTGTGGAAAATTTATTAGCATTACTCTTATAAACAAACAATTAAAATTTCCAATTTTGTATTGCAGTTAATATTTTTAAACATCAAGGACATTTTTTGTGTGTTTCTCAGTTAAAACTTAAAAAAAAAGAAAGAAAGAAAGAAAATGAAAAAAAGAAGAGGCTAAAATTCCGCTTTCCTAACTTGCAAGAGAATTTATTTTTCTGCTTCGCACAGCCACACTTCTCCTGCAATTATGTCAAATTGACTTTCAGGCGTGCTGGTATTTTTAAAAATCAACATAGAGTTTTACAAAGTTAAAAAGGTCTTTTATGTACCATTTACTGGTCATACAAGTAGATTATTTAAGCGAATACACAAATTTATCTATTTATTTTCAAGCTCTTCTAGAAGTGATAATTTGTGAAAATCCCCTTTGATTTGTGTGAAAATTCACAAGTGTCAAGATGATTGACACTTAGTACATAAAAATCTGATCATTAGAACAAAAGTTATTCAGGGTGATATCTTTACAATTTTGCGCATGGTAAATAAAACATTACCCCCTACTATATTAGATTCTTTAACCATCAATTTTTTTATAAGCATTAATTGTAAAAATTTAATAAATCATTTAAATTTTTCAGATCTTCTTCACGAAATTAAAAAAAAAAGAAAGAATTATTTAAAACGTAATGATAAATGAATGAATGAGCAACTGTTCAATTAAAAGATCGAAAATTAAACAGTAAGTTTAACAAAAAATATAAAAATCAATAATGATACAAAACAAAGTTATAAGACTAGGTAATTCGGACTTTTATACATTGTATGATATATTAAGCCACAATATTATTTATACATAAATATAGCACAATAGATAAATACAAATAGAAGAAAATTAAGAAAAACAATAAGATTTATTTACTGCGCATAAGTTGCAAGTAAATACAACTCATAAAATAAGTTCAAAATGCAAAAATTACAGAAATATGCAAAAATTACAGAACAATGAAAAAAGGGAAAAAGAATAAAATTAATCAAAAAAAGAAAAATTCTGAAAAAAGGAAAAAAAATTAATAAAAATCCAGAAAATAAAATATATAATCTTTTCATCAACTCACACAATTACAAAAAGATTCTATCTTTTATTTTCCAGAATTTTAAAATTTTTTCCCTCCTTTTTTCGGAATTTTTTTTCATTTTTCATTGTTTTGTAATTTTTCCATGTTTTCTCCACATATTTAAACTTCTATCTGTCTACATATATATATATTATAGTGATAAATATTATGCACATTAAATTAATATATATCATGTTAAGCCATGATATATTAATATATTTTGTCCCTAAAAAATAAAACTAGAAAAGAAGTTACCTTGTTCTAGAGCTTGTACAAACATTCCTAGACTTATCCCAAGCACAATAGGGATCTTGCAGAGCAACACAATCTCTGAAACATTCAATAAACATTCACATGAGTGAGAATGTTTTAAAAAAATAGTATTTGCTATAAATTTAAAATAATTTGTTGGGATAAATATTACAGTTACTTAAAATCATGACAAAAAACAGCCTGATTTACATCTATTTAAAACAGCTTGATTTATATCTATTTTTAAATCCTGTTGACAAGTGAAGTCGAAATTATAAATGCATTAGGTGCTGTAAAGAAAATATTATCAGCGAAGAAAAAAATAAATAAAAACATTATAAAACCTTTCCAAGCACCAGTGAGGAAAACTAGATCAGAAATGTCACGATTAGTTAGATTGCCTGATGAAAATTGATTGTTAACGAAATTACCTTTCAATTCCTCCATATTTCCCTAGGCAATCTAACAGGTTTTAATGATTTTACTCCTGCCTTTATCGATAGTGATTCATTAGACCTCAATAGCATTTTAGTTCTTAACTTGCTTTAATGTGCTGGCAATGTGGTCAGTATTAAGAGTCGGCTAATTTCACATCTCAGCTGGTACCCCTCTCAATGGCGTATGTAGGGTGTGGCAAGTGAGGCATTTTGCCAAGGGCACATTTGAAAAAGGACGCTAAATCGTCTATTTGTTCTCATTTTATTGCTTTTTACTTTCACCATATTGTATAAAAATTAAAATATTTTGCCTCTGTTTAGTTTTGGCTATTGAGAAAATTGATTTTAATATTCCTTAAGGAAAAAAAAAATTAAGACCATATAAAATTATAACCATACGTTCAGCAAACCCTTACATTTCTAATTTAGTAGCAGCCAGGGCTCGAAAAAACTCAGAAATTTTACCCGTCCCCCAGGACGGCTTGTTCGACAATGTACCCGTCCTCCTTTGAAACTAACCCGTAACTTGCAAATAAATAAAAATATAATTTTCTCTTATTTATTACAAACATTTATATAAACTGCACAATGAATTAGAAGTTACTAGGATTACAAATAGTAGGATTACATTATACAGCAATAAAAGAAATACTAGGTTACTAATAGTAACCTAGTATTTCTTTTATGAAAGAATTTAAATGACAAAGGTCAAGTTATCTGGAATGTCAATTTATCCGACGGTATGGAGTTTTTTAAATGAATCAAATAAGACGTTTGCCAGTTCCACAATCTCGCCAATGATTTTTTTGAGGTTTCCTGCACATAAATCTGAAAGGGGTTTTCCATTTTGATAGATGTTCATAATTGCGTTTAACGCTTCTTGTTTAATACCAGTACGTAATGTGTTGCTTTTATAAGTTCATTGCTGAAAAGCCTATTTCAACCGCTGCAGTACTCCCAGACAGAGAAAACACCAATTCCACCATGCGCAGTAAGTTGCTGTAATGTGGGTCATTTTGCTGCATTAGGTCTTTATAAATAGCTTGGGCTCGGAGGGCTGAAATTTTCTGGTGTTCAACGATGTTATGTATCTTAAATTTTAATGACACAAACAAAAATTGAAAATGTATCACGAATATTAAAGGGAAAATGGCCGTCCGAGCGTATGTCGGATTCGAGAAATTCTTTGTCTGCGGGGAATTTTTGACCGCTGAGGACGGGCGGTTTTTCGAGCCCTGGTAGCAGCAATTGCTGTTTATTTTTTAAAATTAAATTTTTTTAATTATAATTTTACAGTGTCTTTACAATTTAAAAACTCATTGAAAAAGTTTTTTTGCAATAACGGACCCTATTTACACAAATTCACAAAAGTGGACCCTGGTTGAAAGAATGTGACTTAACGCTTATTTTATATTCACAAATTATGAGTCATTTTTTCACAATTTTCCTATGCATTAAACTTGTTTGGTTTTTAAAAAAATAAATAAATGTGTTTGTTAACCAGATACTTTTCTCCGGGCAAGTAATAGTTAAAGTAATATAAATATCTAGTTAACATACCCACAAGTTTTGGCATAATGATCACAGTTATAAAGAGGAATAGTTTTGATTTCTTCTCGAGACACCACTACTAATTTTGCATCTGATGGTGTGTGATAAACCATGAGATTTGTGATGGGCGTGTTTTGAAACACTTGGAATTCTTCAATCACAACAGGGATGACCTTGCCAGAAGTCGAGTCACTTCCAGCATTTATGCACTTTAATACTTTACCATTATCTAAAGAAAAAATAAACATTAATAATAAATAAAGAATTTATTTCTTATAACTAAAGATGCAAGCTTGATGGGATGCAAATTATCAGTTCTATTTTTAAAATCCAACATTTTTTAGAGTGCTAAGAGAAATGATTTTTTTCAAAAAAAGTTATAACTTACATTTTAATGGCAACTAGTAATTGAAGTACTAACACTCTAAAGCTTCAAAATTAATAAATGTATAGTTGATATAACATTTTAGAGAATAGCTCAAGAGAAAAACAAAATTTTAAGCATATCCTGATACTTGGGGATAAAAAAATTTAATGTGTACCGTTACGAAAATTCTACCTCATCAACAGAGAGAGCTGTAATTAATCACAAATATTATAAATATATATGATTTGTGAGGCAGACAATTGTTTAGAATGTGAGCCTAACAATTATTATCCACATCAAATTCATTGCACCATTAAAACACTTACAAAACAACAATCAATCTAGTTTTGGAAACCGAAACCAGAAAAATATTCCATACTTTTTTTTAAAGTAATTAGATGTTTGTCAGTTATGCAAAAAGTCGTGAGGCTGACACATTGTTTTCGAAGTATAAAAATGTGTTTAGTGATTAACAGAGAAACATAAACGAGAATAATTTGACTACATTTATATATTTCGTAGCAAAACTTTGTTCAGTTGAATAAAAATATTAATATTTCATAAAATTACAAAAAAAAAAATAATAATAAATTAAAACTCGTTTTTATATTTTTGCTTGCATCGAGTTGTGTTTAATATTTCTATTGTATTTGGGTTCATGTAAAATTTCAGAACTTTCTGCTCATCTTTTGGGAATTTTAGTCCTTCTTAATGCAGCAGACCCGCAATACTACTTATAACTCAGCAACTAACACGCTTACCAACACACACTTAAGAGGACGCCTTACAGCAGGAGAAAATTTTTGTTGAAAATTCTCTTCTTCCTTCATTACTAATTTAAAAGAAAGAAAAAGTAAGCCATGAAGTTTCAATTGTTGAAAAAAATACATCAAAATATTAAAATGCAAACAAATTATGAGAAGAGAACTTCTCTGTAGCGTAATCCTAAGTCATCTTCTCATATTTTATTTTCATTTGTATATTTCAAAATTTTCTTTTCAGTATTTGAAACTTCCATGGCTTACAATAGGTTTGTTTGAACTTACTTTTACTACACTTTAAATCAGTAATGAAGGAGAAAGCAAATTTGGGAGGAAAACTTTCTTCCGCGGTATGGCGTCCTCTCAAGTCACACTCAATATAAAAAATATTTTTTCTCTCTATTTTTTATAACCCAACTAATGTCAATAAAAGAACAGTTGCAAAGCTGAAACCATGCTTTAGAAATATAATAATGCATACCTGTTCCAACATATAGAACATCATAATGCTTTTCATCCGCTGTTTGAATTTGTGGGTCAACTGTTATTTGTGTAAAGCGATACCTAAGGAAAGAGGCATTATTAAAAACATTGAGTTGTCAACAAAGTACATGCCTTTTTTTATTACCTATATTAATGGAAAATAAAACATTTAGTTTAAATATTAAACATTCTTCAACAGTTATCTAATCTTTATAAGAAAATCCTTTAATATTTATTTAATTTTCATACTTAGTTTGAGAAATAAAAAATTTATTAAAAATGAAGATTTAAAAAAGATAAAGTTTAGAATTGTAAATATATTTAACTTTTTGTAAAATATGATGAGCAGACAACTAATTTATTATTATTTTTTTCTTTCAGGTTTTAAAACGCATACAGAAAAACTGGCATAGAAGTTGACTTTTCAAACCCTTAAAATTTCATCAAGATCAGTGAAATTTTATCAAGATCAAAAGGTGACTTATACACCTGTAATAAAGCGTGACATTCATTTATTTCAAAATATCAATGCATTTTAAGCAGTGAGATTAGATATGAATAACTCTATATCGATTTACACCTTTTAAAAAACTATTATTTTTAATAAGCTATAGATAATTCCTTTTACATTTTCTCTCATCATAACTTCTTTATACATTAAGGTTTTTCTTAACAATACTTTAAGTTCCAAAAAAATAAATTTAGAATAGGAAATTATAAGAAAATTTATTCTAGAGTATTTCAAAAAAAATATATGAAAACATTTGAAACCTTCCATAAATCTAGAAAATTTAAGAAAACTACTGAACGTCATCTGTATTAGAATCAATAATGTTAGTGTAGTCATCCCACTCTGCAATGGATTTAATTTTCCTTCTCGTTTGCTGAGTTCCACAAATAATTAGTTGGTTGACTTATACAATGAGTTATATGGTAAATAGAATTTGGCTACTTTAACTATTTCAGATTTATCATTTTTAGATTAGTTAGCAAAGATCATACCTGCCAACATTGGAGAAATAAAATAATGGAGATTCTACTAGCGTCATTTTTTAGGCTAAGAGTAAACTTTTGACATATTGCACATGATCGTGCAAGTCAAAAAGAGAAATTCAAAATTGGAAATAATATAAGCACTTACATTTAGCGAAGTATAATTTTGTATATAAGTCTTAATCTAAAGAAGATTTTTTTAAAAACTATTATTTATAATTATTCAAACTATAAATGCCCAACATATTGCAGTACTGGCAATAGCACCGCCTGTTGAGGAATAAGAGAAGTATTTTTGCCATCAGTGAATATTTTATAGACAAAATTTTTTTTCTTAAATTTCTTCAACAAACATGGAGAAATTTGAGAATATACGGGTAAACAGGAGATAGTAATAAAATACAGGAGTTTTCGTTAAAAAATAGAAGACTTAGCAGGTATGAAAGATTGTGGCAATTAAAAAAAAAAAATAAAAATAGAAACAGCAACTGAAATTGCATCAACACAAAAAATCTCAAATTACTATAACACAGTTGCCACTCGAATCTGTAAAAAAAAATAAAAAAATTCCCTGTGTTTTCCCTGTACATATTATACACAGTACATTAAGAGGAAACACACAAACACTGTCCTGTTTCGTAATCTATATCAGGCTAGCTATACTAGATTTAATTGCTGGAAAAACTTAAAGAAATAGGGAACAGCTGAACATATTAAAACAAATAATGTGTGTAAATATTATCCTTAAATATCCCATAGATTGCATTTTGAGAAGTCGCCATTTCTTAAAAGACGAAAACAAGAAACAGAATTCCTTGTATTTTTCCAGTTTTAAAGAAAAATCAAAATTCCCTGTATTTTCCTTACTTTCCCTGTATTTTCCTTAAGTGATTTTTAGATTCCCTCTATTTTTCAGGTTTTCCCTTTGGAGTGACAAGCCTGATAATGTGCTAAATATTTTACACATAGGGAATTGTAGGGATTTTTCCAGTCATCAAAATAGAAAAACTGCAATATTTTCCAGTTATGATGGGCATTAAATATTAAAACACAACAATTACTGTGCTCTTGTGAAAGCTATATCGGGCTAACTATATTTATTAGTTTTAATTTCTGAAAAACTTAGAGAAAAAAAAAAGGAACAGCTGTACATACTTCAATGCTATAGTAAATGAAATAGTTTACTATAGTTGGAATACCATTCTTAAATATCCCATAGATATTCCCTGTATTTTCCCAGCTCATAAAGAAAAACTCCAAATTCCCTGTTATTTCAGGTGATTTTTAAATTCCCTGTATTTTCAAAGTTTTTCCTGCAGAGTGGCAACTCTGTATAATGTTAATTTATTTCAATTTATTGATTCATGAAGCAGCAACTTGACATGTTTATTCTTAAATTATTCATTTATCAACTAAAGTTTTATTATCTTTTTGATGCATGTAGAAATAACATGATATTTGCCTAAAGTAAGTAAAACCTGCAACCTTCTTTAAACACAATTTAGAATGCAAATAACATATACAGTCAAACCCCGCTATAGTGAACCTTCAAGGGACCGAAATTTCAGTTCACTATAACCGGGAGTTCACTATATCCGTTCCACAGGCAATTTAACTAATGGTTCCCAAACTCCTCCCTTTTATTACACATTATTTAAATAAATGACTGAAAAATATTATGTATTAAGTAGCGAAAAATGTGTTATTTTTTATTACTCTTCGTCTTGCTTACAAAAAAAAAAAAAAAAAAAAAAAAAAAAAAAAAAAAAAAAAAAAANAAAAAAAAATTAGTAATCTTTAGCTGATGAGAAATCCTGACAGAAAATTCATATTGATCCCACTAACACCTTACAGGTGCACTATCTGCTGGGTTTGTTTAGGGATGGGAAAGTGAGATAAAAGAAGCTTATCGCTAAATTCCCCTCTATAGATGGTTTTAAAAATCGGTATATGTATTTATTTTAAAGTAAAAATTTCAAAATTATTACAAATGAAGAAAAAAAATCAGTTGAAGACAGAAAAAAGTTCATTATATCCAACTTCCTTTATTTTTTGGTTCACTATATCCACAAAAAATAACATTATACGTGTACAGCAAGGCACGGGACTAAACACTTAGCTCACTATATCCGGGAGCTCACTATAAACCGTGTTCACTATAACGGGGTTTGACTGTATATTTAAAAAAAAATATATATATTGCTTCGAAACCACATTTTACTGTCAAAAACTATGTAATACAATAAATTCTAAAGTCTTATTTTATATTTAACCCAAAAAAATCAGATTTTTCTAAGTTTAGAATAGTAGATATGTTCATATTTGTCTCATTCTTTTACAATATGTGAGTAAAACTAGGAAATAAAATTTAAAAATTAAAAATAAATATTTATCTACTTGTGTTTACATTGTATTTTTTTTAAACATAAATTAAAAATGCATCAAGTAAATAAAAACAGTTCTCTCAAGTCAAGCACAGTTTGAGAAAATAGAAAGTTCAATAAAATTCACTTACTGGAAGACAGTATGCAAGACAACTGGATGATTCCAAAAAGCTGGTACTGCCCCGTCCATTAAACTGTTACTCTCAATAAAATTGACCGTCACTTCTGGGAGTGTGCGAGAATCGTTGACACACTGACCGGGGCGTGGTTCTGGCACTTTGGTACTTGCTACAGGGAGCCAATTGGCATTGATGTCATCTTGTCCCTTGAATGGACCGTTGAAAGCTTTGAAAACATCTTCTAAACGGAAGGCACATACAGCTGAGCCACTGATACTGTTTCTGTGAAATACACAAAAGAACATTCTTTTAAGAACTTCTGCCACAAAGAGGACTCTTCATAATTAAAAATTAAGCTGCCTGTAATACACCAGCCTAATTGGAAAAATCAACAACATTTCCCAATCATTTTTAGAATGAATGCATTGAGGCCACTTATCTAAGGTTGCACAGTCGGCGAAGAGTAGGGGATTGCGTACTCGTAGCGGACTAATCAACCTGCGAGTATATCCAGGGTATCTGGTACATTTTAGACTTTCAAATTCATGACTTTCCAGGACTAATTCCAAGAATTTTTCACAACTTAATGAAGTTACTATTTTCTCCAACAAAAACACAACAATAAATTTAAAAAAAAGCATTATAATGACATTTCTTCATATTTGTAGATTTTAAATTTAAAAAACAGGGTAAAGAAAGAGTTGAAGCAATAAAATAGCAGAAAAAATAAAAAAGCAATTTTTTTTTTTTTAAAGCAGAATTATACTCTAAAGATACATTTCTTGTTCATCGAAAAGGAAAAAAATAGTCCTCATTTCCCTGTTCTCATTTTGGAATAAAAAAAGTTTGCCAATGACTGGCTTGGTTCAGCTAGAATTTTAAACTGATAAAATAAAAATGAATAATAACAAAAATTCTGAAATCACAGAAGTTTAAAAGATAGTTCGATCTAGAAATGTTTTTTCTTTCATTTTTTGAAAAAACACCTTAATTTTTAAAGGACACGAATAAAAACATTTTATATCTTAATAAAATATGATTCTGAGAGGGGATTTTGTTACACATTCAGATATTTGGTACACCATAAAATGGGAGGGGGGGGGATTCCATTTTAAAAATTAGACTTTTGGGCGACCTAAATAAATAGTTAAAATCATGACAAATTTCATTCAATACTGAAATTCAGGACTTTCAATGATTTCTCATGACTTTCCAGGAGCGCAGAGATCCTGCATCAAGGCCAGCGGAATATATAATTTGAAGGCTCTAATTCATGTAACTTATTTTAAGGTTTGGCTAACATTTAAACAACCACATTTTTATAACCACATTTAATTTTTAGAAGATATGAAGTTTTCATACATAACATGGAGAAAGAGGAATTTAATTTAAAACATGTTCAAATGAACTACTAAATTAACTTTTAAAAAAAATAGACAAAACTTAGCACATTTCATATCACTTAATTAAAAATATATTAACAATATGCAGAAAAAATTAGAAATGAATTTCTTTCAATGAATTTTAAATTTACAAAACACTTGAGGTATGTTGATAATGTTTTTAAAATGAAATTCTAAAAAAATAATATAACTCTATGGCAGGGGTGGGCAAACTTTTTTGGTTGAGAACAAAAAGTAGCGAAAAAAAAATTGGTGGGCTAAGTAAAAGCTTCTAGAAAAAAAAACGACATACAAGTTTTCATTTAAATATTTAATGAGATGAATGAAATTGTGATTTCATTTTTAAAAGTTCCTTATAATGAGATTCGAAGTGAGATGCACTTATATTAAGGAACGAGGCTAAATGTTTGTTTGTTAGTCAACTTCTGAAATGACATTTTCTAAAGCTCATAACTGAAAACACTTGTTTACATATATGAGATGAAGCAAACATAGCACTGATTTTCTGGGCATGAGATATTAAATTTGGGAAACTAGCTTTTGGTAATGATTTGTAAAACTCAAAATTTGACATATTCAAAAACAACTGCTTCTGACGGCACCAATCAAACGGCTATTCAATAAAGATCTTCCGCTTTCAACATTTTACCAATTGAAGCTGTCTATTTTCATCAATTTATGTTTTGCAAAATAAAAATAGAGAAAGTAAGAAGGTCATCACTACTTTGTTAAAAAAGAAAGAACAAAAATAGCTTTAAACAAAGTAGAGAAGAAAATGGATGTATATTGTTCATATTCGCTACTGATTGGCAAGTTAAAATTCGATTCACGGGCCGAATAAACACTTCTGGCGGGCCACAGTTTGCCCACCCCTGCTCTGAGGGAATGATGTTAATCAATAGATTCAGATCTTATTACTGAACAAACTTTGCAAAAGATATTAAAATAAATAAATTATAACATTGACATTATAACATAGAAGATAGAAAAATGAAGAGTAGCAAAATGTATCAGCAAATATAAACTTACGGAGGTGTAGTAAAAACAGCATATATTAATTGAGCTTCTTTACTACCATATTTTCCAGTTACAACATTTGTTGTAGATTCTGAAAAGAAAATATTCAATTGAAATTAAAAAAAAGGCTTCTAGTTAAGTGGCTGCAAATGTGAATAGTTAGTCAATGTTTAGTAACATATATATATATACAGTAGGGAACCAATTATCCGGAACGATCGGGACCATCATTATTCCGGATAACTGATTTTTCCGGTTTTCTGAATCGCTACAAAAAGCCGTTTTTTTATTGTTAAACCCAACTAAAAAAAAATTATATTTGGAAATAATCTTAAAAAGAAAAAACGAAGTAATACACTAATGATTATTTCAAAAATGATAGTAAGGTAAAAATCTTTCCAAAAAGAAAGAAAAATCCTAAAATCTTATGAGGAAAAAATTATTATTATTATTTTTTTTTTTTAAAATGGCAGGAAAATGTATCGAATTTCGTTCCGGTTTTTTGGTTTTCCGATTTCTGGATAACGGGTTCTGTACTGTATATATATTTTGGACAACAGTCACACCAAAAAGATAGAACTTACGAATTTCGTTAAAATAGAAGGGAAACTCTCCCGGTATGGAACAGTTTAGCCTGGCTTTGAGGAATGATGTCCACCTATTTCTGAATTTGTGAGGTCCTCCTTTATCTTTTGTACAAACTCTGGCCACTCTTGAGTACACAGCCTAAAAATAATTAAAAGAAAAAAAAATATCATAGAATTACTATTTTTCCTCAGTTATCTTTTAAATATCGATTAGCTGTTTACATTTATAGATTATCTAGACCAATATTTAAAACTTTTATTCTGGATGTTATACAATGAAACTAAAAGAAAGACATTTAAAAATAAAGATCCTGAATCCCAAAGGAAAATTTAATTTTGAAATTAATGCTATAGTTACATTTGTTCAGCTTTCCTTGAACCCTATGATGCATCAAGTGATGATAGCAGTCCTGAAGGCAAAGCCCCCTAAGTGCCAGAATAAAATCTGATTTTGCTAATTTGGATTTTTTCTTTCGGTAAAACGTCCTCTTAAGCAAATTAAAGAAGATGCATCAATTTGAGCATGACAGGAGGAGGTCAGAAGGTAGAGTTTCAAATGGGAAATTCTTGATCATCTTCTGTCTGATCTTTGGATCACAATCAGTTATATTTCATGTAATATATATCTCCTAAGAGCAGCCTTTTTAGAAAAACATTTCAATGCAGAAGATTCTCATTAAAGTGTTTATTTAAAAACTTGTGGCGAATGCCACCTATCGTAAGAAACTTTAACAGCTCATTTACACCTTTTGATGCGCTCTGTTTAGGCCGATAATATTGTAAATCAATATAATGTTTTCATTGTATTTTCGGCAGTTATTGAAATTGATTTTTAAATATCCTGAGATATTTCAAACAATATGGAAAATTCAAATCGTGCATTTGAGTATTTACATTTTAAGGCAATAATTATATAGAATTTTCGGCAGTTGATTTCTCCATAATTTTTAAATCCGATATTTCTTATATGTTATTATTTATTACAACAACTTAATCTTGAAACGAAACACGTATTTGAGGAGTCTGATTCACGTGATTTCGTCCATCTTTTTTTTTGGCAATTACAACTACGGATTTCACGATGTTTAATTGTGATTATTTACAGGAAGGAAATAATTTGTGCTTTACCCCCGACAAAATACGAGAATATTATCCATAATAAAAGAATATTAAAACTTCAATTAAAAAAAAAAGGGAGTTTTTTGTTATTTTAAATTGGTAACATATATGTTTGTTATTAATAAAACTATCTTGAAAAAAATATTAGTGCTAGCGAGTTTTGTCACAGATAGCTGGAAAAAAGGCTGCTACAAGGGTAATATAATATGAACCAAGAAAAGTCATTGTTTTCATTTGATAACATTGACTAGAAAGATTGATTAATTCAAAGATACAGACATTGTGCCAATTTCTTTGAAATTCATATACACCTTATTTCTCGATAGACTTACTTTTCCACAATTTATATATTCCACAGCAGTTTCTCGGAAAAAGAAATACACAAACTCCTCGTGATGAACTGAACTGACAAAATTTGGTGCTGAAAGACAAAAATTAATTTTTCTAAAAAAATCTCTAAAAATAACATGAGAATGGAAAAGAAAAGTATTTTTGTAATGCATACCATTCAAATGCTTCCAATTAAATTGTTCCGTTCTGAGCGGATCCCGATAGATGAGAGGATCTGCTCCAGTGAATTGAGCTACTGTTGCCACATACAAATCTCCATCTATTCAAAAAATGAATTAATAATCCAAGAGACAAAAACACTAAACTAAATGCAGTTTATTTTAATTTCTTAATTGATAATCTAACATAAATAATTATTTAAACATTAAACTGAAGCAAAAATGTATAGTCCCTTCAAGAAAAAAGAATCAAAAATACCATGACAATGAAATACAAATGGTATTGCACATATGACATTAAAATCTTCTAGTCATTGGCATTGTTGAGGGAAAAGATATGTATATATTCCCCTGAATATCTAGAAATTTCAAAAAGTTCACCTCCCATTAGCTCTCATAAATTTTTTAAGAAAATAAAAATTATAAATTTACATTTCAATTTATCATTAGGAAACAAAAAAAATTATTGATCTTCTTTGCAAATATTTAAAAGACAAATTAAAAATTTTAAATATTTTTTTTTTAATGTGTGAAATTTAGAGAACTAGTGTAACTGTATTGTAATTTCATAATATTCATAATATAGCTTAATAATCATCAGTTACTAATAGCCAGATTTAATTACTTTAACTGTAAGATTGCATCTCACCAAAGGCAATATATGAAATAGCATTATAAACAATGCGAAAACCATGAAAATTTAAAAGTAGTAAAGATCAACAGATTCCCTTGGGCATAAAACCATTCTGTTTGATTATATTTTTAAAAATTCTTTTTGCTTCTTCTCCCCCTTCAACTACTATCATAAACAGTTTACAAACAAACCTTAATTTAGATTACAAACTATTTTACTACCCGAAGACATCTTTTACTTTGAAAATAGTTTTTAGCTAAAATATTTTAAGAAAGAAAATCTATGGTTAACAGACATTATTTTCAAAATAAAATAAAATATTAATTTTGTTCATAATTCAGGGCACTTACATTATTTAAACTCTAGCAAATATATTGTAGTTTTGCTAGTAAATTAACAAACACTGAGTCGACACAAAAGTTAATAAGTGCACACACATTGAATTAGAAGTTACTTTCTTACACAAATTTCAATAAGATGTATAAAAATTCCTGAAAATATTCTTTAAAAATGACAAGATAAATTATGTGGAAATAATGTGGAAGAAATTTTTTTATTAATGTCTAAAAAAGATTAAGTGCGTAACGTAAAACAATTAAACAGTCATGCAGTGCAACACACAGAGTGCCAAACTTTGAAAAATTAAGAGCTATAGCAACAAAGAAAGGTGTCAATTTTTACAAAAATTTATTAACAACTTAGAAAAAGGAAAAATACAACCCAATTTAAATAACTTTAATTCTAATTGCTTTCTTTTTTTAAAATTTTTTTTATAGAGACTAATAAATCACATTGAAAGAATAATAGAATAATGCCGATTAAGTTTCATGAGTGAATTTAATCAGAGGGAACTTTTAAAATTAAATTTCACAGTATGAGAATGATTTAATATTAAAACAAAGGTGATTTCGACATTTTCATTTTTACTGCTTTGAAATGTACACATTCTGCAAGAGCGTTCGCCTTTCAATGAGGTGACCGGGTTCGAATCCCACTGACGGCTGGTCGATACGAATTCTGCACCCGGCTAGCACCGGCCTAAGTGTTAACATAAAATATTCTCAGGGGTAGATGGATCACGGGTTAAGAGTCTCCTTACCGTTGGGCGTACCGTGGAAGGTGTTCATAGTTTTCCTCACTTCCATAGTTCATTGAGAGTTGGGCTTACCATGTAAGGCTTGTTTTCTGAATTGGGTTTAAAATTACAAGGCTACGTAGTTGAACATCAATAGTCATAAACTCAAAATTGGGTCAGCTGTTCAAGGATGATTACAGAATAAAATTTAAAAAAATGCAAGACAGAGCCACAATAATTCGGGGGATAGAATAGAGTGTTTGCATCTTAATAATGACTGATTGTTTCAATTTCTATTCCTGGCTGGCACTGATCACAGCAGTAACAAAAAAATCCCTAGTGGTACATAGATGATGGGTTAGAACTCATTTTATTGACCCAATGAAGGGATGAAAGGCTGAGTCAACCTTGCCAGGTCTGAAGAACGCACCCAAGACCTATGGCACGAGAGTGCGAAGCGTTATCACTCAGCCACTGGGTCTTAAGTTTATAGTATAGCTTCTTACCCTTCAAGTTTATTCTGAAATTAAGATGTCCCGCAGTGGACTGATCATAAAAAACATCATCATAAAGATCCCAGCTTAACACCCAAGTCAAGCATCACTGGCTGCGATCAGTAAACGGGTGGGTGACCTCTCTGATCAGCCTGGCTAGGGACTGAGGATTGGCGGCATCGGTCCTCGTTAAACGGTTTTACTGTAAAGTGCTCGACTTCGTGTGCAGGTCGTTTGGCTGCCAAACCAGGGGAGCCATCTCCTCTGCAGAGGATTAAAACTGTGATGGCGTGTCTTCGGATCATCCTCAGAGATGTTTCCCAGACCGTTGCCAATAACCCATTGCACAGCTCTAGTGCGATGTAAATAAAGTACCTACCTGAAATTAAGACATTGATACATACACGAAACAGCAAATATGCTGTGAATGTAAGAAATTTCACTGAATGATGAATTCAAGAGATCACAGAGACAGAAAAACACATAGATCAGAAGTTATTCAAAGTAGATTGTATTTTTACTTGGTGTTTTGGGGATGGGGTGAGAAGTTTAGGTAGGGAGAATGAAACAGATTGAAAAAATGTAAATAGATTAAAAGTTTTATTATTCTTTTTTTTAAAAATTAAATTTAAACAAAGAAATAAGGGTAGACAGAAGGTCACAATCACAGAACATATTTACTCTACCTTTTCTTTCTTTAATTGATCCTTTTTTATGTTAGCATGGACAGAGGAGAGTAAGATTAAATAAAATAATTTTAATTCGTTTTTGGAAAAAAAAGAAAGAAAAAAAACAACTGAATAAAAGTACAATAATTTTTGGTGGAAAAAAAGGAAATTGAATGGATAATGAAAGAAAAATTCTTAATTAATTTCGACAAGTAAGCAAACTCGAATAATGTAGTCCGATTCAGAGCTGAAAATGGGCATTCACCCTAAAGCTCTGGTATTCAATTTCTTAAGTAATATAACTTGCAGAGCTTGTCATACAGATGTAATGTAATAGAAAAGAAGGTAACATTCTTCACACTTCTAAAAACTCCAGAAAAAATTAATTAAAAAAAAAATGTATATAAATCTGAATTATTGAATTAAAAAACAAGATTTATTAAAACATTTTCAGACTATTATTAAAGCAGGGTCTTTAAACGAACAATTTCTCACATCTTAAAGCTACTAATATTAGGTACATAAAATATAAACAAACAAAAAAATAAATTAATTAAGTATATTATGATTCAGGATTTAAATTAAAAAATTGAGTTGAATTACTTAATTTAGAGTTGCATTTCATTTACAAAAACAGTAACGAAATGTAAAATTAAAATAAATTAATGAAATTTTTTTAAAAAAAATAAATAAGAAAAATAAAATTACTGTAGTAAGTGGTCAACAAAAATTGAAAGTAGGGACAAATGTAAGGCTCTTTTAATTTAATTTTATGTTATACTTTCTATCAACGAGACACTTATGAAATGACTTTTGTTTTCTAAAAATAAATTGAAAATTATTTTAAAAAGTCACAAAAATCGATGTTTCAAAAAAGAAAAATACACTCATATTTATTATTTACCTGCAAATATGGCAGTGCTGTTGTGAGTCGGGTCGTACGGACACAGACCTTCACCAGAAGCCTCTTTCACCATTGTGTAATCAGCATCCTAAATAAAAACAATTCGATAATCAATTCAAACAAATTTAAAAAATACTTTCAAAAAATAAAATTTTTAATACTAAAAGGTGAGACAAACCTGCAAGTAATGCCGACAAAGAGGTTTAAAGGCATTTGTACCACAAACTAAAATTGTGTCCTCAGATTTCCTTGCTAAAACTCTAATATAGTTTTGACATTCTTCCTGTAAAGGTTCAAAAAATATTAAATAAAGTTGCTCTTCTCAAAAGTAACAATAACATGGGTGCAGAATTTATGAATACCAATAATCAGTGTGTGTAGCTAAATCTCTTAACAAAAAATAAGCACCTTTTTAAGTAATTGAAACACTCAAAAAATATTTTTAAGCACTATATACATTAACAAAATGCAAATAAATTTTCAAAGACTTTACATGATCATGATAAAATAACTAGTTTCTGACAAAGAACTCTTTCCTTGATTTATATTATCCGACATAAAAAGATAGAGAGATTTTTCAGTTCGATTTCAGAGGGTGAAAAATGAAGCCTGAAATTGAGAATATTGTGCAAAATGCAGCAGAGTTGCACACGAGAGAGCAAGAATCTCATGGAATCCAGCTCAATAGATGCAATTGCAGACTCCCAAGTATTTCATCAAACATGTAACATGGTTGACACTATCATAAATTACGCACTGATGGTAAGCTGAAATGGATTGTGGTTTAATGAATATGTTCAATAGAACAATGCGAAAGCCATGCTTTTGCATAATACGCTGGGAAAATTAACATGGTAAAGGAAAAAAATCTCATTTTTGAAAAGGGAAAATTAAGCCTTTCTTATAAACACTGTGTGAAAAGGCACCTTTAAGGGCCTTTAAAAAAACTAAAATTAGCACTTTTTAAAAACGCTACGCGCCATGATAATTAAAGATATGCAAGCTATACTGTGTTAAATAGGCCATAAGTCATTGAGGAGAAGTAAGTTATGATGCAATTATGAAATTAACAAATAATAAAAAGAGTAAACTTTTCAGGTTTAGCTTTCTGCCAATAGAAACTGGGTTATATGAGGTAAAAACTGGCAAAAACTATAATAAAATGTCTTAAATAGTTCTAACAAGTTATTCTTTTAAGTTCATTAATTTAGCTCCATTTCATCATTGTGAAATCTTGATGTAACAATTAATGTATTAGAAATTTTGACCTTGAAATCTTCTTGTAACTTCAACAAACTTTTCATTGTTTGTAGGTATATTACTTTGTTTACATTAAATGTAGTAAATCACGCAATGTAATAATAAATACTAGATTTTAGTTGAAAATTGAATAATTTTTTATCATTTAACCCTAAACGCAACTAAATGAAACCATTTTCAAATATGTTTAATTTTATTTTAAAAATCATGATTTGCAACAATCAACAACAGACATGTGATTGCTGGATGAAGAAATTATCTGAAATTTTTTTAAATGTTTAGTATTTTTTAGATCTTCTACATAAAAAAATAAATAAAAGACTGTCATTTTCTTGCATAAAAGAAAGATTTATAAGATTCAAAGAGAGAAAGGAAGTTCTTTTTTCTAATAATTCTTTTCTTATCAACGCATAAAAGAATATATATAGTGAAAAAAAAGTACTATTTCCTCTGCTTTTTTGCCCTTAGCGACTCCTCATCACATGACAAAAAACAAAGAAAAGAAAGATTTTAAAAACTGGGAAATTTAAAGCGATGACAAAAAGGGGTTAATTCAATGATGTACGTTTCGGTTGTAGTTGGTTTGTCACGTGTTGTAATAAATAATATCGTTTTAAAAATATCGAGATTTTAAAAAATACGAGAAAATATGAAGTGAAAACTGCGGAAAAATAGATTGAAGTAACGATATAATTATCGCGTTAAGTAATAAATACTCAGGTGCGCGATTTGAATTTCTTGTATCGCAATAATATTGGGACTTTAAAATATAATGTGAAAAATCCACAGCAATAACTGATAATAAATAAAAAAAAAAGGATCGATAAAACAGCAGCATTGTCCAGCAAAAAAATGACTAACAAATACACGAATTGAATTTCGCGTCTCGTAATAATACTGAATAAATAAAAAATTTTAAAAAAAATATATATATCGAGAGAATTCATAGCAATAATAGCTGAAAAAGCGATTGAATCACACCATGGATTCACAATAGTTAAGGCTACTATATAGTCTAATTCAGGGGCTCTAACAATAGTAACCACGCATTAAAAAAAAAAAAAAAATTATTCAAAAGCACGATTTAGATTTTGTGTGTCGCAATAATATCAGAATTTTAAGAACCATCAGAAAATCAATTGCATTAACAGCAAAATTAAAAAAATGAAACACGGATTTCCAATGGTATCGAGCGCGTTGAAAAGCGATTACTGAAATGCGCGATTCAAAATTTCCACGTCGTAACATCATATTAAAAATTAATTCTATCGTATTACGTGCAAATATATCACATTGATAAAATTTTCTTCTGTTGTAAATCGAAATTTGCAACAAAATTGCTACTCATTAAAATATAAGTTTTTTTAAAAAAAAAATAGAAAAATCAAAATTTTTTTGTCTAGCAAACAATCCTTTTAAATTTTGCCATTTCTGAATTACTTTTTAGATTATCAATTTTATACTTTTGTGTTTGCTTCAGTAGTTCATTAATTCTATTGTGGAAATTTTTTTTGCTGTCATAGTTCTCGAAGTTCATCCGCGTTTTTCTCGAATAAATTTAAGTACAAAAAGCCGTTATCACGCGTCAACGAACTTGGGAAGGAGAAAAGAAAAAAAAAAAGAAGAGGGTGCTTAGTTAGGGCGGAATTAAAGTCTCGCTAACGATATTTTGTGTAATTAATGAAATTTAAATTTTAGATTAGCGGAAGAATCTAACTCAGTCTTCGCTGTTTTTTTTTTTTTTTAAAGACCCGAGTGTCAGGTCACCACAAATCTTTACTGTTCTTATGATTTTAAAGAATCCTATTTTCAGGGTTGCCAGAGAAAGAAAAAAAATGGAACAAAATAGTTGCTTTTAGTAGCCTAAAGCATAAAAATAGTTGCCAATATAAGAACGAAAATTTTCCAATAACATGACTAAAATTTTATTACCTAAATGACTTAATCGTCATATACCGTGATCCATTTAGTTTTTTTTAAAATTCTACAGAATTTTGTAGCAATAACAATTGAAAAGGCGATCGGGAAATAAAATAGAACAGAAAAGCCTGCCAATAGTCCTGAAAATAGTTCCTTTTTTTAGACTTTTCAGACAAAAAAAAAGTTGCCATAGTCGCCTCAGGCTGAAAATAGTTGCAATATTTTAGTCGCCTATGGCAACAGGTCACTCTAAACCTTCACTGATTTTCAAGAATCCTATTTTATTTTAGGACTTTTTAGTAATTTCTGGTTTTAAGCTACACCCTAAGAAACAACATGATTGGACAAAATATTTAACACTAGATTGTCCAAGGAAGTCATTTTGACAGTTTTTTAATTTCAATTAGAAAAACAATGATATATATAATGACACAATTTCTTACAATTTTGCATCTTTTATCATTATTTTTATTGTTGATATTTACTATTAACTTGTTATATAACTGAAAATAATATTGAAAATTAATTTTAAACAAATTTCTTTATACATTAGTTATTCCTTCACAATGCAGTCATTTTGACTGCTTTTGGGCAATGTAGGTATTTCAGTCTTTCTAGTCTAGTATCGCATTAAGATTTATGCATATTTTACTTAAATGATATTAAGATGATACTTCAAACACCATAATAATTATATATCATTACTAGCTGTAGGGAAATTTACGTATGCTTTGGTAAGCCTTAAAAATAAAAGCGCAAAATCTGTTCCTACAAATTAAAGTAAAATGCTTACCTCTGATTTTCCTTTCATTTTGCACATATTTATATCTTCATCGCTGGAATACCATTCTAATCTCTACAAAAGGCGAAAAAAAAAATTATAATTGTTGTAAAAACAGTACATAAGTCACTTTTCAAAAGAGGAGCAGATACTTACTTTTTTCTCTTGTAATGTATCAAGACTAAGATTGTAGACGATATTTCTAGTAAAAAAAGAAGATAGATCATGTTTAATTTAAAGTAAGAAAACATAAAATATTATTGAAAGTCAAATAATTGTTTAATATGTGAATGTTGATTTATGTTAAATTAATTTATATTAAATTAATTTCTATTAAAATATTGGGATTCAGCATTTAAATAAAGTTAATGGTTAGGTTCAGAGTTGGCAAGGTTTAGGACAGAATGGATTAATCCACGGTTTAAACCGTCCAGTCCAAAACAATGTGGTCTTAAACTGTCCAAAACCCTTTTATTCAAATTATGTTACAATTTAAAAAAAAAAAAATATTGTGAAAAATAAAATTTTAATTTAAATTATTGAGCAGGAAAAATTAAGAGAAGTTCTTGTTTTATTAAAATAGTTTATTATTATTTTTAATATTGCATTGTTTATCCTCATGCAAAAACATAATTTATCAGCATTAAAACACATTTATTCATATTTAAGGGATAAGATATTCATTTTTGTTGTTCATTGAATTGTGGAGCTTCAAAGCTTATAAATCTTTTCCTATTATATTATATCATTTTCCTTTTATAAGATAAAGCAAATTGTATAAAAAGTATCAAATATTTATTGATATCATGTGTACAATGATTACACATATAGAATTTTAACCTTTTACCAATGTTCAAGGTTTTTGGACAGTTTTAGGCAGTAAAACCCACGTGTCCTGTCCAAAACCTCAACCATAGCTAGGTTTGGTTAAATTTAACGGTGCTGTTATGGGCAATGCTGTACACAGAATTCAGTATTTACATCATAGAAAAAAAATGGGTGAGAATTTCTCACCCTTTCTCAAAAGCAGGGTGAGATTTCTAAAAACTAAAAAAACACTAAAACTCCTTAAAAAAAATTATTTCTTTGATTATAATAAATTTTTAACGTCTTCTATTTTTTAAAGCATTGAATATTTTTGGTGCATCATCATAGAAGATTTTGCCTTTACAAGGTATTTGTCCATCTTACATAAGTGCATAAAAAATTTGAACGTCTTACATGAAGAAACCTTACCTACGATGAACATGTGATTGTAGAGAAATGTGCTCTGAAAGGGGTTCCGTGGTTGTGTTCTGTTGTTCGAAAAGGTTCTAAACAATACTGGTAAATAGGGAAGCTAGATAATGGGGCAGATGATGAAAATAATGAAAGATCTAGGAAGAAAAGTGAAACGGATTTTTTTCTAAATGGCGTAATTCGAAGCTTTTTCCAAAATGCAAGAAATTCGCGAATTTTGAAATTGATTTATAGAATGCGCGAATTTCTCGCGGTAATAATTTTTTAATGCGAGAAAAGAAAAAAATATGCCAGATTCTCGCGTTCTCGCGCTGTAGTGAAAGCACTGAAGGAGTCAAAATTCATTGAAGGCCCTTTCCTCAAATTAGCTCATGTTTTGCAAATATTTTTCAAAAAGACTACTTTAAATTTGTGTTTATTTTAATCAATGTTGTTTATAGTAATATGTGAAATTTTTTTCTCCACTAAAATTGCAGAGTATTCCAAACATGTATGAATGCGTAGATGTATAACAATTTCAAGAGCATTTCACGTCTTGCCTCTGCGACAAATTCAACAACTAGGACATTCCGTCGGGTGAATTATGAAAATTTTTGGGAGGTCACTGTAACTTTTAGTGACCATCCATCCCGGACTGCAAGTTCCTGCTCCGAGAGTTGAGTACAAATAGCGCATATTAGTGAAAACCCTTAAATTTGGAAATTTTGTACCCAGACATAAAGATGAAGAGTTTCCGTATCCGAGACAAAGTGAAAAATGTTCGTATTGATAGGAAGTGAATTTAAATTTTTTTTTAAAAAACAGAATCATTATTAAAAGCTTTATAAAAATGGTAAAAAAAAGTATTTATATGTAAAAAAAAGAAGGTAAATAAAGTAGTATCATTCGCGATTAATTAATTTGTCTGATACCACGCACCTTTTTCTTTTTTCAATTCCTATTATTAGTTCATACACTCTCCCTACATTTCGTTGTTAGTTAAATTTAATTAATAAATTTTTTTAGTTTTATGTGGGAGAAAAACTTTTAATTATTTAATAAAAAGTAACTCAGGGTGTGTAGCCAAATTATTCAACAAAAAATAAGCACCTTCTAAGCACTTTTCAAGCACTCAAAAAATATTTTTAAGCACTTTAAAAAATATATATTTAGGCAGGGTTGGAAATTTTTTTTTGACAATAGGTTTTATCTTGTTTTAACCATCATGTCAAAAAGAAAAAAAAAAAAAAAAACTTTTGGCATTGTTTTTGACAATTGTCAAAAATCATGAAATTTTGAATCATGTAAAACTAATGGTGTTTTCATGCGCTACGGACCGACAATACGCCGGAATAGATTGGGGTTGAATTAATTGTGAAAACGTTGAATAGAAAGAACAATGTGAACTGCGTCTTTTTGCATAATTCGAAGGGAAAAACAACATAGTAAAGGAAAAATCTCATTTTTGAAAAGGGTTAATTAAGCACTTTTTAAAAACACCCAATGAAAAAAAGCACCGTTAAGGGCTTTTAAAAAAATGAAAATAAGCACCTTCAAGCACTTTTTAAAAACTCTACGCACCCTGTAACTAAAATAAAACTTATCTTTATATTACTTGTTTTTAATAATGTGTCGATGAGTTTTTCTTAATATCCTCGCGCATCCCATTTAGTTTTAATACGTCCCCTCCCCCTCATTTGAGAATCGCCGAATAACACAATCTTGTTTGTTTTTCTTTCGCTGGCAATGTTCCAAAGGAAAAAGGAACACGCGACCATAATCGCTCTTTGTTATTATTTGCGGTTCTGGAACGAACCCTTCAACAATTCAATAAACAAATTTCTCGACAAGGAATAAGAAAAAGATAGGGTGTGCTTCTCGGTTTCAAAAGAACAATAACAAAACAAAAAAAAAAGTTCTTTTCCAAGGAAGTGGAGACTATTTGTAAGAACGGAATAAATTAGTAGTTTTAAGTAGCTCGAAAGAAAGAAAAGGTATCATTTATTCATGAACTAACTAAAAGCGGTTAAGAAGCAGTCTTGGCTATAGGATCCCGGTATTGTATTACCACAAAATATTTTCACGCAGTTTGTCTCGATAAAAGAACACGAAAAAGTTGATGTTTTAAACAGGGTGCGTAGCCAAATCTTTCAACAAAAAATAAGCACCCTTTAAGTACTTTTTAGGCACTCAAAAATATTTTTAAACACGTTAACAAAATGCAAAATAAATTTCAAAGACTTTTGCATGATCATGGTAAAATAACTAGTTTCTGACAAAGAACTCCTTTCTTGATTATATTTGCCAGCCTTAGATAGAGAGAATTTTTCGTTCGATATCAGGGGGTGGAAAATGAAGCCTGAAATGGAGAATATCTTGCGGAATGCAGCAGAGTTGCACATGAGAGTGCAAGAATGTCACCTAGCTCAGTCGACGGACTCGCAAGTATTTCATCAAACATGTAAAATGATTGGCGCTTGGTCCGACGGTAAGCCCAAATAGATTGTGGTAGAAATAATTGTGAAAACGCTGACTAGAATAATACGAAAAGCACGCTTTTGCATAATACGCGGCGAAAATTGTCAATGTAAAAGAAAAAAAAAATCTCATTTCCGAAAAGGGAAAACGAAGCACTTTTTAGAAACGCTACGCACCACGTTAAATAACAAATTGTGGTTATTTCCATAAGTTGCTTTGATACAGACACAGGGACTGCGAAACCGGGGGGAGCTAAGACCATCACATTTTAAAAATGAAGGGACTCACCCCTTCTAAAATTAAATTTAACTCAATTTGTGCAATTAAATTTACACTAGTAAAAAAAAAAATTTTTTTTGTGTCTGAATTCTAAAAAAATAAAAATGTCTATTTCGAGTGAGCTTATACATTTCTTTCGTGTGAAAACTGCTACCGAATCATCCCTTACTCACCCCCCCCTTTTTTTGTCGTATGCCTGTTTAGGCAGAGGGGGTGCGATTGTTCCTGTTTTTCAGTGGCGCCATCTATGGCCAGGAATTCGACTTCTGCCACGCCATTCACACAACCACAACCATTTTTCACACACAGAGAAAGGACATAGAACACACAGAGAGAGAAAGAAACATCCATGCCTTGCCCGGGATTCGAACACAAGACCTTTCTGATGCAAGGAGAGTTCCTTGCCCCCTACACATGCCGGTCGTCACTCATCCCCCCTTGCAGAGTGAATATACGTCCCTATTGCTGACCGATGGGGAAAGTTCCTGGTTTTAAATGTCACAGCGAACAGCATACAAAACAACAGTAAAACAGAATTAAAAAAAATATACCGTTTGCAGTAAGTAGAAATAAAATATACCGTTCGTAAAGAAGTTCGCATTATTTTGTGAGGCTCAGATAATTTGAACCAAAGCCACTTCTTTGTTTTAAATGTGAACATAAAATTGGTAAGTTTTTCCCTTCCTCATAAATACACAAAGCAAGGCTCGTAATATTTTTCTTTGTATTGAGGCAAACATAAACAAATAACCAAAACTTAAGGCCTGTTTTCACGGTCTAAGTTTTTAAATCCGAGAAATTGCAGGAATTTATCTCTCCAAGAAATTGGACGATTCGTCGACAGTTCTTGAATGTCACTAATTGGTTGGAAGAAAAACACGCGCATGCGCATTGTTCATATTCAACATTACAAAATCATACAATTTAAAATTACTAAATAAATTCAAACAAAATCATAATAACATAAATAGACCAAAACAGATAAATTCATTTGGACTAAAATATATGAAAACAGACAGCAAAATGACAGCTTGTTGACTTAAGAAGCTGATTGGTTAAAGGAGGAAAAACTTGGATGGAAAGTAGAACATGCTCTACTATCGTCCAAGAACTTGTACCAAGTTCATTCACCAGGAGTTGGGACTTGGTTCCGCCTTCATCACGTGGTATCCGACGATACTATTTCGCCATTTTTGGGAGAAGGATGCGAACAATCCTGAACGAGGTTGCTATTTTGGCTATCGTATGACATAAATATTTACTTCGCAATATTTATGTGCATTTTTTTAACATTAAATATTTCACAAATTTGATGATATTTCTCTCTTTTGATGGAAAAGTTTGTGCTTTTTTAGACATTTTGCTGCAATATATTTAATTATCTAGAGTAACGAAGGGTATAATAGCAGATGACAAAGCGGAGTAAGTGACTGAAAAAGAATTCAGTGTTTGTGTTTGGCGCGCATGAAGGGTTGTCTCAATTTCAAGCGCAGAGACGTTTTTCCTCTTACTCCAGCACTGAAATGAACTCTTCGTCCGAGAAGGTAGAGCCAAGTGTCAACTCCTGGTGAACGAACTATACTTGTATGATCGTTTACACAATCCAAGCTCAAGGCGAAACAAATTTCCATCAATTTTCAATCAATCTTCGTCCAAGAACTTGGATGGCATAAACAGACCTTTATTTATGAAAATTAGAGAATGTCTTTGTGAGAATACAGTATTGTTTTCAGATTTTAAAGTAAACATACCTCGCTCCGACTAGTAAGTGATCACCATCTTTTTCGAGAAGCTTAAAATGGTCACTATGTGTTTGGTTGCCTAGAAACCTTTGGACCTTCTCTCCTTCTGAAATCACAAAAATAAATGATTCAGTAAAAAAGAACATCTAAAATGAAGCAGGGGTGACAAACTACAGTTGGGCCCCGATTTAACGAATTCATAGGGACGGAAATATTATTCGCTAAATCGGGGACAAATAAAAATAAAAAATCGACTCATCATATGGAATATTAGAACATCTCTAATGAGCAAATACACAAAATAAATAGAAATCTTAACACTTTTTATTCAGATTGAATGATTCGAATGTTTAAGCGCTGATTAATTTGAAATTTTAAAGCATTTCGTGAGTGATGTTTGCTTATTTCCTTGGATTTCTAACTTTAAAAAGTTCTTTTTCGATGTCATTTGTTGTATTAGGTAAGTTTCCACTGTTTCCAAAACATCAGAAAAAGTAACAGTTTGCACTGGAGACTGACTCATTATCATAGACTTCTGTGTCAGAGTCGCTATTCATCGTTCCCTAACTTCATAAAATTCGCTAAATCTTCATTGTTTCTCAACTTCATAAAATTTGTAAAATCGCGAAATTCGGTATATAGGGGTTCGCTAAACCAAAGTTCAACTGCAGTTAGCGTTTGCGAAATCAGCGCAATTTTAAGGTGTTCTTAATTCTATATATCTTATAAAATATTAATAAAATCAATGTATGAATTTACTTTTAACTAAATAAAAACTTAAAAGACATTAAAATTAAAAATTACACAACACTGAAATTTTACACACCAGTATAAAATGATAAAATTTATAACCTGGAATCAATGCCCTAGTTTTTGATAAAATTAAAACTAGCCCCTATTGTACTTTTAGCATTTCAGTTTATGTTCGTTTGCTTTTCTATATAATATATCTTACCGAAATCAAGAGAATGTCGACTTTCATCGGTGAATGTAAACAATCACAGTCGCTTCGGTGAAATATTTGTATATAACGAATTATCCCCGATATTACGAATTATCATCGATACAATAAATTACGAAAGAAAACAAGTATTTTTGAACACCCTATGCCAGAAAATCAAGCAATAAGCTTGCAACTTGAATTGATTACTTAAGTTGTTATTTTCAATAACTGCATAAAGTTTCGTAAACCTAGAGTAAATATTTATGGAAATATGGACACTTTCATAAAAAAAAAAAAAAAAAAAAAATTTTTTTCGCCTTAAGTTTTTTGCTATAACTTCTTAAATATTCAATGGAAGTTAACAAAATTTTTGGAGAAATCTTAAAATAATGAGAAAATTATTGATTTAAAATTGTGAAAAAATTGTTAAAAACTGAGCAAGTTATGAGTATTACTAGTTCTTTTGCACTGAAATTTTTTTCTTCATAATTTTGCAGTGCATCGTAGTTGGCAACTAATAATAATAAAAAAAATTATTTTAATATCCTTGTGTTTCCTTGTTACATCCTATACATTTAAATTTCTTCGGACTTATGTTATTCCTAGAGTCAACTACATGATGCAGTAGGTGGTGAAAATCTCATTGGCCATCAAACCCCACTAAGAACTATTTGTATGGTCGGTCTACGAGAAGAACTCGCCCAGTCACAAAGTCAGAGGCCGTCTGCTGCTATGGAAACAAGAATAGCGCATTTCAGGGAGGGTAGCTTCTCTTCCCTCTAGGGCGAACACACATAGACCGAAAAAAAATATTCCTTTCCTCTCACCGACCGGAACCAAAACCTGTCCTAAACAATGACCCCACACCCCTACTTAAATTAGTTATACCTCGTTACCATAGTCACCGCCAAAGGTCCAGACGAATGGCCAGAGGAGTTCTTACTTTCTACTTAAATTCTAAGAAATCATAACAATTTGGGCGAGATTTTTCGTGCTTGCACTTACCTATTACATTTAAGTACGAAATATATATTTTTTAAATCTTATAATTTTTTTTATACTGATTTATACGCCCCTCCATTCATTGGAATATAATTAGGGTTTCACGTGGCGTGATTTAATGGGGGGTATCATTTGGCTCGTCTTGCCGGGGCTGCTCCATTTCTACTCCGATTACCTCGTTGATAAATACTCTCAAACTAAGCCCCGGCGCGAAACTTAAATCCCTAAATATGAAACCGCATAATATCTCATAATTCTCGCCCGAAAAGGAAAAAGAATCTCTCCCCACTCATTTCGGAGTGCTCGCTGAACTCTGCACACTAAAGATATTAAATTAGCGATCTCGGTACTTAGGAGTGAGGGGGGGGGAGGGGTTGAGCTGCTCATCAAAGGCCTCCCATCACCTTGGCAACGGAACCATTTTTCATCTGTTTTTCTCTCTTGCCATCTTCTGGAACAGCCCTGGCTGGAGTGTCAACATAGCGCAAACCGCCCCGATCATTTTCGCGCCTTTCCGGAATAAGGGGGCTTTTGCAAATGGTTGCTAAGGTAACGATCACCGACCACTTACTTGTTTCCGCCCCTGCCCACCCCCTTTCTTTAGGAATGGGGTGATTCCGTTGTTTCATCTGCAGGCCATTGTGTTGTTCGAGGGTTGGACTGTTGTAAATGAAGTGAAGCAATGTTCGATTTCGAGTCTTCATCGAACCTTCTTTTATGTTCTATATTAAAGGGAAGGGGCGGAATATTTATGTTCTTTGTTGTTACAAAACATTACTTCTCCTACCTTTAAACTGGGGAAACCAACGATCATCCGGACCGAAAATTAATATCATCCGATATTTCTACTGTACAGTACAGTTCCTGGCTAATTTAGTAGACGCACTATAAGATTCTATGTAAAATCTTAATTATCAGGTGATACTATACAGCTTTATTGTTTGCATTTGTTTACGTTCGTGTATCAATATTAGACGATATACAATATAAATTCGACGAATGTATAAATCAGACGATATATTATATAAATATAGAATATTTATTATATCAGGAATTATATTAGTATATTACAGTAATTAGATCAACTTATTAGACGCACTGTAGTATTTTAATAATGACATGTTTTGCAGGAGTTTATATGCAATACTTTTATATTTAAACATACATGTAATGGGTTTTTATTCAGGAGATTTTTTTACACACTTCCTATTTGTACTTATTTTTAATGCATTGCGTTACAATGCTAACCAATTGATACACGAACGTAAACAAGTGCAAAACCGAGTAAAAACTGTAATAGTATCACCTGATAATTAAAATTTTATAATAAAATCTTATAGTGCGTCTAATAATTTGGTCAGGGACTGTAACGTATGTCGATCGCAATTTCATACGATTGAAAAACATAAACAAAGACAAAGCTTTGATAACGATGCATCGAGATCTCGACAATCGTTATTCTTTGATACAGTAGTATGGAAGTCTTCCAAAGCGTAATTTTTTTGTTTTTGTTTGTTTCCTTTGGCTTCCAAAAAGTTTGAAAAAGAAAGGGATCTTACGCAAACATTGCTTATAACTAGAGTCCGGATTTTGATGACCTAAAAAATCTCAATTAATGCCCTTAAAAAGTGCAAAAAATGTCCTTATGAACTGCAAAAAATGCCTTTAAAAGTGCAAAAAATGCCCTTAAAATGCGAAAATTGCGCTAAAAATGCCTTATGACATGACTTAAATAGAAGTAAAAATATTGAACTAAAACAATGTTTTACTCTTTAAAATTATTATGAGTCGTTTCAAAAGATATAAAGCAATGCAATACTTGTTCTACGTTCATTAAAGTTTGAAAAATATGTCATATCCTAAAATAACAAAAAAAAGGAAAATATATTGACTCCAAAACATTTTTATTTTGTATAGAAACTTAAATGAATATAACAACTTCCATCTCATAATATTACTAAATATCAGAATNTGTTACAAAACATTACTTCTTCTAGCTTTAAACTGGGGAAACCAACGATCATCCGGACCGAAAATTAATATCATCCGATATTTCTACTGTACAGTACAGTTCCTGGCTAATTTAGTAGACGCACTCTAAGATTCTATGTAAAATCTTAATTATCAGGTGATACTATATACAGCTTTATTGTTTGCACTTGTTTACGTGAGTGTATCAATTGGTTATATTAGACGATATACAATATAAATTCGACGAATGTATAAATCAGACGATATATTATATAGAATATTTATTATATCAGGTATATTAGTATATTACAGTAATTAGATCAACTTATTAGACGCACTGTAGTGTTTTAACAATGACATGTTTTGCAGGAGTTTATAGGCAATACTTTTATATTTAAACATACATGTAATGGGTTTTTATTCAGGAGATTTTCGATACACTTCCTATTTGTATTTATTTTTAACGCATTGCGTTACAATGCTAACCAATTGATACACGAACATAAACAAGTGCAAAACCGCATAAAAACAATGAAGCTGTAATAGTATCATCTGATAATTAAGATCTTACATAGAATCCTATAGTGCGTTTAATAATTTGGCCAGGGACAGTAACGTGTGTCGATAGCAATTTCATACGATTGAAAAACATAAACAAAGACGAAACTTAGATAACGATGCATCGAGATCTCGACAATCGTTATTTTTTGATACAGTAGTATTGAAGTCTTACAAAGCGTAATTTTTTTTTTGTTTTTGCTTCCTTTGGCTTCCAAAAAATTTGAAAAAGAAAGGGATCTTACGCAAACATTGCTTATAACCTTCGCTTTAATAGCTTACGTAATAACAGAGTGCGTAACCAAATCTTTCAACAAAAAATAAGTACTTTTTAAGCACTATATACATTAACGAAATGCGAAATAATTTTCAAAGACTTAACAAGTTCATGATAAAATAACTAGTTTCGAACAAAAAACTCATTTCTTGATTATATTAGCCGCCATATAAAAGATCGAAAGATTTTTCGGTTCGATTTCAGAGAGCCTGGGGACAAATGAAGCCTGAAATCGAGAATCTCTTAACAAATTGCAGCAGAGTTGCACATAATTCCCATTGAATCCAGCTCAGTAGACGCACACGTGGACTCGCAAGCATTTCATCAAACCTGTAAAATGATTGGCGCTTTCATA